AGAGAGAGAGAGAGAGAGAGAGAGAGAGAGAGAGAGAGAGGAAGAGAGAGTTGAGGATGATGGACGTGGATTTGCGGTTTCTTTGTCTCTTCCCTCTCTTCACCTGTGTACATACATTTTGATTACGGCTCCGGGCGGTTTGCCCGTTCTTATTTTCGTTTCGGCTTTCTGAAATCTGGGCTTGGATTTTTGCTCACATTTGTCTTCGCGATGTCCGCTTTTGCTTGCATTATGTGTATGATTGTCGAATGTATGCATGCATGAATGTTATGCTTGCTTGCCTATCTCTTTTGCGGAAAATCCCTACCCTTGCTTTTTGTTTGTGTCGAATCTTTGCTTGCACCGGGTGCAGCGATAGATGGGATAAGAGTCTGGCCCCGATGTAGATTTCGTTTTTGCTTGTCAGAACACGTGTAAACGCGATCCGAGTCGGGCCCTTGCACGCATTCCCGCGCGTCGACTCACTCACTATCCCATCGGCAATGATACCATGACGCGATCTTGGGGCTCAGACTCGTCCTATGACCCGGACTATTTCACCCCTATAATAAACGAGCTCATAAGGACCCGATACCCTTGTCACACAGAGAATCGTCTATGTCCGGAAATTCCATTGTGCCACCACTAGCGACCCTCGGTGCTCCGATTTCCCTTCCCCCGACCACACCTACTACTTCACCCACCCGGGATTCGTTGAGATCTTCACCAGTTTCCCTCCTTTCCGCCTCCTTCTCCCGTATCATCAGCTCAGTGTCATTCCATGGCCGGCCATAACCCCCTATTGGCCCAACACGTTTTGTGTAAACTGCCGACGCAGCGGCGCACAAAAAGCCCCGGAATCCCGAAGGCCCAACCCAGGCACGCGGCGGTCTGCGCCACATGGCGGCCCCAGACGGCCTAACTTTTTGGGACCATCTCCACCACGGAGGAATTTTCCCGTAACCCGTCGCCCACAGTGCCCCGGCCCCCATCGGACCGTGAGTCCCTTGCGCACACCCGCCTAGTTGCATTCATACCCTTACGACTTCCCCACTTTCCCCAAAAATCCTTGGCACACCCCTTTTCGCACTTCCAGGCCCACATCCCACTCCGATCAGGAAGTCGCGCTGGGCGTGAGGTTGATATCGAAGCCCCACACGTGGCTAGGGCCTTAGGATTGATAGCACGTTAATTAGGCGACCTGGCTAACCGTGGGCGACCTCGCCCTCGGAATGCGCATAGATGCGACCCTATCATTACCAGAATCAGATCGGCTAACCGACGAGCAGCCAATATGGTTGCCAATGTGCAAAATCTAGTTCCGCAACAAAATTCTAATCCACCTAATCAACCTGCCCCACGTGCACGAGCTCCCATGTCACCACCAGATCTCTATCTATTTGATATGGCGCACCATCTTGCAGGAGCATGGCTGGCCACGCTTAGAGCACAGCAGTACGATGATCACGAGGCACAGATCAACATTCCGGCTCGAATGGGAGGAAACGCTCATCATTGGTATAGTACCTATGTATGGGTGGATCTCCCGACCTTCGAGCGGGACTTTTTGAACCGATTCGATTATGTCCACCCTGAGCAAGCGCTGTACATAATCAAGGATCGAGTACAAAAACCGCTCGAATCCGTCGTGGAATATCGAAACCGGTTCTACAAAATGTTCGTAAAAATTGAGCGAGGTGAGCAAGTAGGGAGAGATCTGTTCATTGACGGACTCCGCAGTCGAACGATAAGGGCAAAGTTGCGAAAGCAATTTTCCCCCATCACCCGTACGCTACAACAAATTATGGCTGTTGCGGAAGAAATGGAACGGAAGTTCGCAGCGAACTTCCTGGAAGGAGAAAATTACCCTAGAGACGAAGATTCGACCGAGCTCGCTCGAGCTAGAGCAGAGCTGGCTGCTTTACAGAACAAATTTGAAAACATGGGGTTCGTATCAGGACCTGTCACCTATATGGAATAGATAGGCCCCAAACGAGTAATCCTAAGTGAGACTCTGAGCATCTCTGCTCCTATGAGGCCCCCGCCCGTCAGGGCATTACCCCCGCCGCCAGTAGAGGATCCTGTACGATGAAACGAATCGGCGGCCATTTTCGAACTAACCAAAACTTTGATTAGTTTGATCCAAGAAAGCAAAAAGGAGCAGCGAGAGCACAATGCTCGGCTGGAAGCCATGATGAGGAACATGCGGCCTATTGCGGTGAGTGCCCCTCCGATGCAACAAGGATTAGCCCCCGCCCCTGCTCTCGGTGGAGCTGCGAACAATCTGAATGTTTGCTACGCCTGTCATCAGCCCGGACATCTAGCCCGTGACTGCCCCCACCGACCCCTCCAATAGCGGATCGGAGTCGCACCTATGGCCACGGCCCCCATCGCCAACGGACCTGGACGAGTCGGAGCCTTGATGGAAGAAGTAGAGGGTGGGGGAAGTGCCCTGGCCACCACGGAAGAGGCCGCCGAGCTAATTCCGCTAGATCAGTACGTATCGCTGGGATATCCTGGGCTAGGAATGATCGGAACAATCAGACCAGCGCCAAAACTAAAAGAGGTGGCGGAGTGGCGACCGTCCTTAGGAGAAATGGAGTCGGGAGGACCCACCTTCGTCACAGGGGAGATCGATGTATTAAACATCATCCAAGCTTTGGACCATCGGATTCCCCTTCCGATCGGTCACCTACTCTCGATCTCCGAGCAAGCCAACGAGCGAATGTTACAGCATTGCAAAGCGAATCGAAAGCGCTTCGCCCTCGCCCGAGCACCGAACGTAAAAGCCAAAGGCCCCGCGCCGGAAGAAGACCCAACAAACACTCCGGATCCGATACGGTTAGGATTAATTCAGAAAAACGATCATTTCCTACGGATTAAACCCATTCCGTGGAAATCCGCAGAGTGCGATATAGAAATTTGGGGAATTCTTTACAACGCAATTATAGACTCGGGAGCAGCTGTGTTGGCTATTTCAATGAGAGTGGCGGCAGGCAGGAAAAACGATTTGATCATGCTCACCGAGAAAGATCAGCTCGTTTCGGCAAATGAGGAAAAGATTAAAACTGTGGGGAGAATGACCAACGTCGCCTTCCGATTAGGAAAAGTACACGCGCTTGGGGATGTCGTAGTACTAGATGTTAATACGTACGACGTTCTTTTCGGACTTCCTGCTCTTGTGGTGTTACGAGCAAACCTGGATTTCGATCGACGATCGATCGTCCTCCGAAATACATGAGGAAAACCCTACGTTGTGCCCATGCGATTGACCCTTCGCACCACTATTAATGCAGTTCCAAGGGTTTCGCCGATGATGGCAGAGACTCTCCGCATGATCTCCTGGGACGAACCCGCAGAAGGAAAGTCATCAACTGAAGATGCGAAAAGCAGTGACGAGGATGATCTGGAGATCTTGAAATTGGTACGACAACGCGTTTACTACCCGCCGCCCAAAACGATACCAAGAACGATGCAATTGACCAGCCGAAAAATTCAAAGGACCAAGGCGATTATCTTGGGAGAGCCCCTCGTGCAAATTCCGAGGATGATCGACTCTTTGGAACCCCCTCAAACTCATTACGAAGGAATCACCCCTTTCCTCGCCAGGTACAGCGACAAAAAACATTTTTGCGATATTACGGAACTACCTAAGTCTTTACTAACATCGGCTAAAGAAGTGAGATTGTTGCGCTTGGGGGCGGAAGCAAGCTCTCTGGAACCCCCTGAGCGTTTCGAAGCAGAAACAGACGGACTGGGGATAAAGATCGCAACTAAGGAAGTGCCGTGGCAGGATGTTTGTGACGGGATTACCCCAGAAGGACACGTGGCAATCCGAGAAGAAGATGCTCAGATGATGGTCACGGTGTTCTCCTGGCGATCGGATCATTCATTCATCTCGGCGCCTCCACCCGATTTGACAAAAGAGACGAACACAAAACAGATTGACGTTCGGATCTGGGACCAACTTCGAACTGCACGTTCCACAATATGTGCCGGATGAAATCCACCGGGTAATTGCGGATATTCTAACGGAATACCAAGGAGCAATTAGTGTGTCAAACACTAACATCAGGTTGTCGTTAGTAAACCAACATGAGATTCAGACACGAAATCACTCCCCAATTCATTGCAAACCTTATCGCTATTCCTTGATTGAACGCAAAAAGGCTCTAGAACGAATTCGGGAGTTCGAAGCCAGTGGTTGGATTGAACCCGCTACCGGACCTTGGTCCTTTCCCGTAGTATTAGTGCCGAAGAAAAACGGAGCGATTCACATTTGCATTGATTATCGCAAGCTGAATGAGATCACGATCAAAGATGTGTATCCCCTCCCCCAGATTGATGATTTGCTAGATGTGATTGGATGTGCTAACTACTTTAGCCAGTTTGATATTCGACATGGTTTCCATCACATTATGGTTAAGGAGGAAGATCGGCTAAAAACGGCCTTTGTGTTGTTTGAGGGCACGTAGCAGTGGGTTCGGTGTCCGATGGGAATTTGCAATGCGCCTGCCACGTTTCAGCGAGCAATGAACATGACGTTCCAGAATTTCGTCAACAAGATACGGCTGACGCAAGGGATGATTAAATTTTGCGTGATCGTGTACATGGATGATATCCTGGTCTATTCGGAAACCTATCATGGGCACGCGCAACATATTGAATGGACATTGGGCGCACTGAGAGATGCTGGGTTCAAGATTGCGCACGAGAAAAGCAATTTTTTCCTTTCGGAAATTTCGTTCTTGGGCTACGTCGTGACACGTGGAGGATTGCGGCCAGACTCGAGAAAAGTTGCGGCGGTGAAGGAAGCTCCGGTTCCCACGTCACTGACACAGGTTTGAGCCTTCTTAGGATTGGCGTCGTACTACCGGCGCTTCATCAAGGGCTTTGCCGTGATTGCACGACCACTAACGAATCTGTTACGGAAGGACCAGCCTCTCAGCTAGGACGCGGAGTGCCAGCAAGCCTTTGCAACCCTCAAAGACGCTCTGGCAACGACCCCTATTTTGATTCGGCCGGACCCCTCGAAGCAGTTCATTCTCATCACGGACTGGCAACTGGATGGTCGCGAACACGTCATCGAGTACGCGTCTCGAACCGTACCGGACGAACGAAGAAACGACTCCGCACCTCAAGGCGAGTGCTATGCGGTAGCTTGGGGAATCCAGCACTTCCATCCGTATCTCTACGGACAAAAGTTTCGCCTCGTAACGGATCACGAGCCTCTGCTAGCGCTGAAGAAACTCACCAACTACAYGGGCATGATTGGCCGTTGGGCGGTGCGACTACAAGAATACGACTTCGATATCGTCCATCGAAARACAGAACGACATGGCAACGCGGACGGGCTGACACGTCTGCACCAACCTGTCAAGGTGCCAAAGGGCGAGGAAATTACACCGTGGAAAGAGCCGGACTTGACCAACGAGCCGAAGTACGGACAAGTGGCAGTCCTCCCACGTGGCAAGAAGCAAAACGGTGGTGATGGGTGATGGAGCTAACCTCACTACCCCTCTTTCTCCCCCTTCCTCCTCGTCTCTCCTCTCCCTGCCTGACAAATTTTGCTATTTTTGCGAAGCTATCTCCCGCGTCTATTCGGTCTCCATGTGTCCTAACGGGGAGGGGTATGTCGATTGGATAGATTGTCGACAGTGTGTCGCACGAGCCCATGGCTCGTGCATCCAATACAGAAACGATAGTAAACCGTGGCTGTACCCCTTGTGCCGGACCAACAAGATTCCGACCGAGGCTCGCTTTTTGGATGCCACGTCAGAAGGATTGGAAAAGACCCGGAAGTTTAGAAGGGCCGAAGTATGGACGGATATTGCCTTAATTGCCACCCTAGTAGGTAACCCCCTCCAGGATTTCACTAAGGAAGATCGAAGGAGGGCCAACGAAAGGGCTCGGGATTATCGATGGATAGAGGGTAGATTAGAAAAACGGAAAACAGACGGCAGTGGGATTTGGATGGTAGTATCGCACCCGTTCATGCGGTATGACTGGGTTAAGACGGCTCACGAAGAAATTGCGGCTCATTTTGCCGTACGAATCACGGAGTCCGCTATCGACAAAAATGAGTGGTATTGGTCCAATATCCGCGACGATATGAGGTCTGCGCCGCTGACAAGGCGCCGATTCAGCCGCCAAGATCGATAGTGCCCACGGTTGTTGAACGGCCATTTCAAAGAGTGAGCATGGACACTACCGACATAGTGGTGCCCCCTGGCCCTAATAGCTGCGAATATTCAATCCTATTGGTATTTGTCGACCATTTCTCGAAATGGATCGAAGCGTATCCTTGTCGCACGCGGCAAGCCACGAAAATCGCGCAGTATGTTCACCGTTTCCTCGGGATGCATCAGGATACGGAAGAAATCCTGACCGACAATGAAGTTGAATTCAGGGGAGAAGTACTAAGGAATCTGGTCTTACATGGCGTCGCCATACGTAACACTGCACCCCATATGTCCCAATCCAATGGACTGGTCGAAAACGCTAACCGGGTGATAAAGATAGCGTTGCGATGTAACATCGCGGCACGGGATCCGAGACCCTGGCCCGATATCGTCGATCACATCCTGGCGGTCCATCGTGAAACGCCCCACGAATCGACGGGGCTGAGCCCCTTCCAATTAAGGACCAATAGCGTCGCTTGCGTTTCAATACCAAGCATCCCGGACGAGTCTACAGTGAACCGACGTCCCACCAGGGCCACGGCTAGGGACAAGGCCAAACGACACCTAGAGCTAATGGAACGGTCACTGCCCAGGCTAGCCCGAAAATGACAGAAAATAACCGAACTAGCCCAAGGCCGACAGATCCAGAGCTACGAGGCCCGAAATGGGAATGCGGGTCCACGGCCCCGGTACAAATTGGGGGACGTGGTGCAGGTGAGGAAATGTGCTCGCCAAGGTAAGCTAGGGCCACGATTCTTCGGGCGATATCGCGTGATCGAGCTCGGCCCCAACGACGTGGACACTATGCGTCTCGCCCCGGAAGCCTCTGGCAGCTGATCGGCCCGCCCGATCACACGCCACGTGTCCTATCTTCGCCTCCTCCCCTCTGCTCCGTCTCCTTCTCCCTCGATCTCTCCTTTTGAGAAAGCCGAAGACGACGACTCTGACTCTCCGCCATCCCCCTCTTCCTCTTGCTACCTCTCTGCCTCTCCGTCTCCATCGCCATCGCCATGAGTTTTCTGGAGGAAAGATCCCTCAGCGAAGCATCGCTTGCACCCCGTGATCGATTGATGATCCGGCAAGTCTATCATCCCCATCTCAGTCCAGATCTTCGGCGGCTTGCGCACTTTTTCTGCACGGAAGGCTTGTATGCAGAGGTGGTGTTCAGAATCAAGGGACGGCCCAACGCAGTGGTACTGGTCGAGGCAGTAGCAGTTCATCAGCGAGCGGTGCCAGGTGTAAGCCGCATATCGGTCATCATCAACTTCCGTGGCGATCTCTCCACGCTCCTCCCTTTACGACATTCGGCGGTGAAAACATCGTTGCGCGCGTGGGCAAACGATCTGGTCGCCGAGTGGATCCAGCTTCTGGCTCGCCCTGGGGACACGGTCGCGTCGACACGAGCGATCGAATAGGACGGCCTTCGGATGTATCAGCGTGATCCGCCGGCGGTTCTCCCTGTTGTTGTTCCCTTCCCTCGCCCCCAATGAGTCTCTCTCCGATCTCCATTTTTTATCTCCCCTCCACCTTCCCCACCTTCTGGCAGTCCGATATCCATCCTCGCCTTTCCTACTGTCTAACGACCCTTGTTGTCCCCGACATTCATCCCCCACACTGGGAACTGTGGCGTGAAGACTTCGTCGAGCTTTCACTGTGCTTGGTTGAGGTACTACTGACGTGGACCGAGGACGAGGCGCGCCCGCCTTGCATAGAGCGCCTGGAGTTGCTGTTCATCCAGGCTTGGCGAACCAATGAGGAGGGAGAACTCCTCGCGTTTCTGTTCGGTACAGTACGGCCCGGACATCAGGAACTCATCACGCAAGAGCTCGCGATCCTGGTAGTGCAGCTGGCGGACGATCTCCCTCTCGACATCATCTCGCAGGACGATGAGCACTTGATTCCTCATGTGCTTTCTCGCACGTTGACGCCGTATCTCCAGTGGTCGGCTTGTGTGGAGGGAGCCGCAGAGCGCATCCCGCCGTCGCAGCAGCAGTATTTGGATCCCCGGACGGTTTGTGATCGTGCCTTCTTCAGGCATCCAACGGCAGAGCAACTTGCTGCCATTCGAGAGGAAGAAGAGGAGGAAGAAAGCACTGAGAGTGACGAAGGAGAAGACGAGCAGGAAGAAAGTGGGGAAAGCGGCAAAGTACTCAGGGAAGAGGACGAAACCCCCGAAGAAGGAAGCTATAGCGAGCATAGCGAAGGGGAGCAGAGTGAAGAAGAAGAAGAAGACGACGAAGGAGAAGAGGAGAACGAAGAAGGACCTGCGAAATCGGAGTGGGAAGCTGTGCTGGAAGAAGCGCTGCGCACGGGCACGGAGGCTGAAGATCCGGAGGCGGCCCGTAAAAGAGAAGAAACCGCGGCCGGGAAGAGGGAGCTAGAGTTTGCGAGCGGGGCAAGCTTGCACGTCTACGACGACCCAAACCGAGATCCGGAGCCACCCCGACCAGAACATGGCGACCTCACGGCCACGACTCCGACCTCATCAGCGAGGCGACGGAGCCGATCCCCCTCCTCCCCAACCCGTCCCCCAGTTCGCCGACGTACCGATACGGGCGATCGGCCTTCGTCCCCGATTACTCTCTCGCCGTCCTCTTGACTACCTCACCCTCCGCCAACTCACCACCCCCATCACGTTCCCCTCCAACCCGTTTCCCCGCGATATCTTCCGCCACTTCTATGTTGCTCGCCTCGGTATAGTAGTGCACCCCCACCCCTCCATTGAGTGCGTCGTCCCAACCTTTTGCCTCCATGTTTTGCTCCTTAGTGCTGCGTGGCGAGGCCACAATATGATCGAGGCTTATTGCATAGTAACGGGGACCATCCCCGCCTGCGAAGATCGCGATCGTTTCCGCGCGGCACTTTTCCGAACTCTCACCACCCTCTATCCTGATTACCTCGCGTCCCTCCCTCGCACTGGCAACCGTTTCCCCCGCTTCCACCGCATCGTCCTCTAGCAAGCGCTTCCAGAATCTGCAGCCGGGATGAAAAGGTTCCTGCCCCCGCTACCCCTAAGCCCTCCACCCCGCCATGCCGCCATGCACCGGCTCCCTTTTCCCCTTCCAATTAATTACTGATGCAACCGGTAATGGATGCGTGTCGCGGCTACGACACGAGAAAGATCCCGTCCTTGGATCGTCGAAGAGCCCAATCTGAGGAATTAGTAGAAGAGCAGAATTGCCACGTTGGATGACGTCCACATACAATCGCACGGTAAGTGGCATACAGAGAATTGCTCCGCGTGTCGATCGATTAGAGAAATCGACACGTTGTTAGGAAACCCGGGGAGGGGTCACCTACTTTTCGCCGAAGCCAAGGGCAACGACGCCTGTCACTCGCCGCGCCCGCTTCCGAGGTCCTCGGCGACCCGTAGGGAATGGGGTTAGAGTGTTTAGTTACTTTCCCTGCCTTTATCTCGTTAATTTCGGTAATCCCACAAGTCCACACCGCGCCTAGTTCGGACAGTGAAATGTCCGTCCAGGGAATTTGCAGAGTCAGCAAGTTTGATTAGTCTACTGATCAGATCAGCAAGCTCGTCCCGCAACAAGGTAGAATAGTTTACTAACAGTTCTGCCAGTTCACACACTAGGCGGCGCGACTTGCCGAGAAACAGATCTACAAGTTTGCCCAGCAACAGATAAAAATAGTCAATTAACAGTCTGGCATATCTGCCCAACGGCAAGTCAGAATAGTCAACTTCAGATCTGTAAGTTCATTCACTAGAAGGTCCGAATAATCAAGCAACAGTTCGGCGGGCCCGCACATCAGAGGGATTTTGCAGTCACCAAGAGAAGGAGTAATAGTAGCAACAGTTTTCCTTGTCTGTCGGAACTTTTGTCCGTTGGGTCACTCGCTGCGCGGACGTTCAAAGGTAGATAGCTGAGGTAAATTTGGTCTTTGCGAATGAATGCCTGTTTGTTACCTTCTCTATACGAAGGGTTCCGCCATGTATCTGATCAGATAATTGTTCCCATTCGATGATCAGATCTGCATGTTCAGGTCAATTAGCTCTCTTAGTTCGCTGTGGCCTCGCCCTCTCTCACACACGCTATCCCTCGTCTGCACTGCCCCTCTTTCTTCAAATAGAATGCATGATGTTGTCTGGGGGGGGGGGTACAGTCAACAGCGGGGTTTCAACTTAACGGGGGTTCCCTGGCTTGAACATGCACACACTTACTCTGACTTGTGACACGTCAGATGCACTACTTGAGAGCTACAGGTGCGGGGGCTCACGCAGAACCAACACCCATGCTTTTGTAGAGGTGACAGCTTGATCTTTGATCAGCAACGAGATTACCGTTATCTTCATCATCAGAGATTTACTCATCACCRCGCGCCACGTCATCTCATAACTGCCAGCTCCCCCGGCATCAAGATCAAGTGGCACATCATCACACGACTGTTCTCGCACAGCCCCCTTTCTCTCTCTCATTCTCTCTCACTCTCTCTCACTCTCTCTCACTCACTCAGTCCTCTGTCCCCCTCTCTCCGCGTGAGCCTGCTCTCTCTCTCTCTCTCTCCCTCTCTCTCTCTCCCTCTCTCTGCTTTTTCTTTCCTCTGTGCTCTCCCTCCCTTTATCTCATCTGTTCCGTCGCTCCTTGAGTGAGAGTGGTGGACTCGTTAGCGGCTGGTTTCTTAACAGCAAAAATCAAAGAAAAAGTATTCTCCCTTAGTCACTTRCCTTCGTGAGCTCTCACTCYGGGCCTRATTCACGCGCATATCGCGCTCAAATCGGATTACAATACAACTGCTAGCCCGGTTCAAGCAGAACCTCCCGACTAAATTACTGTAGGTGAATCTTTGATAAAGATAGTGAAATTTGTCCCCCAATGTTCATCTGATTGGTCCGGTCCACGCGATCGCTCTTCGGTGAGGAGACGAAGAAGGATGTTGGGCTAAGGATTTAGAAGACAAATGTTTGCAGCCGATCAGATAAGAGTCATAACTTGGAAAGGAGCTCTGCTGTATTTCACCCAGCTCTGCGGCAGAACTATGATTGTTCTCACAGTGTCTTCTCAGTTCATGCTCCAAGGAATGGAGGGGGCGCGTCCCTCGTGAAGGCAAAGGGATGCGCATGGAGCAAGAATTGGAAAGGAC